CGCCATCTTTGGCTTCCCGAGGCGGTGCCTTCAGGTGCCTCTGACTATATCTGGACATCATGAAACGGCTTTCTCTTTCTCTTCCCGTCTCTGGCGCCATTTTCGAAGCGGCTGCTGCTGCGTGTCTTTGTGGGTCATCGCGTGGCTCTTGGTGATGAATTCGAGCAGCACTGAGGTCAGCGCCTTAGCCTTTAGCTGACTCTGGAGCTTCGCAAACAAACAATATGTGAGGGTACTTGGAGGAAGGCAGAGCATCTTTCTATTAATACCTTGTTGGTTTAAATCATTAATGATTAAATATTGACTAATTGTCTGAATTTTTGCTTGATTTTTCACATGAAATATGATTTGCATTTTGAAGGTTCTCTGCGATAATGAGTGCCGTCTTTCACGATATCGCATCCAAACTGAAAGAATACTTAATGTGCATGCTTGAAAAAATACAAACATAGAGGGTGGAGGGGAATCAGCGCAGGCCAACTCAACCCGATATGTCATACTTCATATTTACACGATATTTATTTGTATTGGTTTGCTTCAATGTTGTCATTACTTTTGACGCTTGTGGAGTTATATACTGTAGTAGCAATTTGTTTTTCGTATTTCAGGTTATTCATGTGTTCAAGTGATCCATCATTGTCAACACGGCGAGTGTGTGACACTTGATATGTACACTACATGGAAAAAATATGAGATATAGGCATGTGGTGTGTATCCAGAGTAAGACAAAATGGCTTCTCTCATCCAGACGCGTCTTGATGTTGTATTGCTGAAGGCATACAGAAGAGCCATGTTTTATTCAAGCGTGTGTGTGTGCGCCAACGTGTGCGCGTGTGTGTACACACTTTTTCCGGAAGACCTTATTCGAAAGGCTCAGTGTGAGTGCGCCACCCTTTGGCGGCCAAGCCGCACTGCATAGAGAAAAGAAAGTGACCAGGCAAACGTGAGTCTGCGTGAGGCCTCCATTTTTTCGCCACGATAGCTTTCCATTTTCCAAATGCCGTCCCTGTGTAAAGCGCGCCGCCGCGGGACATCAACTGTTAAATAAGCTCCGGAGCCGGGACTCGCTTTTGAGGCAAAAGCAGGTGAACAAGTCTCCTTGGATTTCCCCGTGAGCTCATTTCCCTTTCTAATGGAGGACTTTCAAAGACCTGCATGAAAGCACACACACACACACACACACACACACACACACACACACACACACACACACACACACACACACACACACACACACAAACGCACACGCGCACACAAAACCAGAGAGCAGTTTCTCGAGTGCATCCTGCCATGACAACACTTGACTCGGTTGAAATGGATGAAAATGTGAATTTGTTCACCCATTTCTGACTGAAAGCTGAAGATTCGCAGCTCTCGGACTGTTTGTGCGCTTGCTTTCATGCCCTAATGTGCCACAAGATGGTGACAATTTCCTTGTCGATAGAAAAGTGCCATTAACGCCCGCGAGCCAGTGACGGAGGCCTGCTATGAACAGCAAAAGTCAGCGAATAATTGACACCCACGCGAAAAGGTCCGTCAGTGCTACAAGCTGGTGGCGAAACATTTTTTATTTCCATGAAACAATGCTATGGCCTAACTAAATGAAACTCATCCCCTTTACTGCAAATTATTTCCTTGGCAACAAGATGCCACAAGATGGCGCCAAAAGCAATATTTTTTATCAACTCTGAGCAACATTCAACGCCAATTGCCGTCAACTCATGGAGTAGGAAAAAAAAAGTTTTGGGTAACTTTGCTTTGATTATCAAACGGGAAATGTTTCAGAAACAAAAAAACTATGGCGAGCACCATTGCATCTCTTTTGGATGAGCTCACCGTGTTTCACAACAATCAAGCTTGTGATTGATCAAAGTCTTTGGTTTACTGCAAAGAGTGTTACAAAAGAGAAAATATGACAGAGACTATTTAAATTCATAAGTTGAAGTGATGATGTAACGTAGGCACATGCGTACACACACACACACACACACACACACACACACACACACAACTAAATACTACTACTAATACTACTTCATGTGTGATAAATGTATAATTGTTACACTGGTGATTCCTTGTCAATACATTCTTTTACCAACAAACGCACATTTTGATTGGTGGTGTTGGTATTTTAAAGAAGAAAACAACTCTTCAGATGTTTGCAAAAACTGTCATCATAAAAGTCACTGTTGTGCAGAAAATATTTTTTTGTGGGGGGGGGGTGGGCTGATCTGTCTGTGCTTTTTGTGACATTTTTATTTGGTGATGTTTTCTGAGATTTCACTCATGTAAAATGTGTGCCTTGGCGCCATAAAAAAGTCGGGAAACACCACTCAAGCACATGTGCTACTCCTTAAATTGAACAGTAATCCGGTATGTAGGCCTCGCACTGTATTCACCCCTGGCGGAGGTAACGATCCCCAGACTTCAAAGGGAGCCACTGCCAAAATGGACTAAGCTGCTTATGAAGTGAGACTTTTTTTTTTTTTTTTTTTGAGATGTAGCCTGAATTCCATCCGGCATGTCAGCCAGTCCTTGGAAGCTCAGCGGGATTCTCGTCCTCGGTCATTCGAACTGGGACACAGCTGACAAATAAGAGTGTGATGACACAGCTGCATGTACTGCCTGACACACTCGCATATGAATCATCTGCAGACTGTCTTATTTGACTCCCATTCAAATGGAGGCTGCTCAAGGCACTATATATAGACTACAGCAGACATGACTGATCAGGGGACAAATGCAAGCTTTTCAAGGACAGAAAATGGATGAGAGGTGACTGATGTAACACGACTGAACTCTGGTTAAAATCCAAATTTGAAACGGCAACCCAAGCTTGAAACCCTCATTTTAAACCATCAAACTGGCTTGAAATTCTACTTTGAAATGTCAAACTTGGTTTCAAACAGCAATTTCAAACCCTACCCCTTGGTTGAAACTAGCCATAGGCCGATTACTGGTTTGAAGGGTTAAAACGTCAAGGTTTCAATCACCGCCAACAGTGGCTGTCACCGGTAATGACTTCTTCTTTTCTTTCTTTGAGTGGACTTCTGATCGCATGACTGTCTGCTTGTACAGTTGAGTACAGGAGCCCCCTTGAAGTTAATTACCTCCAATTAACATTTTTGGGATGTGTAGAGAGGCGAAGTGTGAGCACTTGCCAGTGCTAGTAGCCCAAAAGTCTGTTTTCAAAATAGCTTACCGGTGTTCAATTGGTTAGCACGTCCGTCACCAAGTCACCTGGGATAGGCTCCAGGACGCCGGCGACCCTCGTGAGGATAACCGGCTCAGATAATGCATGGAAGGATAATTATGTCCGTAAAAGGCAAAAAAAAAAAAAGTATACTGTGCACAATTGATGAACACAAGGAGAGGCGACAGGAGCACAGCAGAAATTAGAAGTGCAATGCTTCCCTCTAGTGGTAAATGATGAAACTACCAGGTGTGTTTGGGTTTGTTGAGTTTACTTATTTATTTTATAAATTATCCAGGGTTCACATTTAATTTTAGTAATTGATTATATTAAATTGTATTAATTTAATATTATTGATCAATTTTTGCAATATTTGTAATTGTTTAAAAAAATAAAAACAATAAGAATAAGAAAACCTTTATTCGTCTCACAATGGAGAAATTCCCAATTTACGGCAGCAAAGTTATGAAAGCAAGAAAGTAGAAGAACAAAAAGTATAGGAGCTGCTGTAAAGGCACATTATATAGAGATGGATTGGAGATATGAACTACACAATGAATTATAAATACAACAATAAAATGAAACCAAGTAGTTACGGGGGGAGTTCAAGTATCAAGACTAAAATTCTACATAGAAAAAACATAATTGAGGAGGAATATGAAATAGCAGCTTTGAGTCAACCTCGAAAATGAATATTGTATATACATTTTAAAAAGTAAAGAAAATGTACTGTATTTTATTTTTAGCTTCAACAACCAGATTAAATCTAGGCCGCCGAAGATAGTGTTTGCTGTTATCAATAATCACAGCCTCTATAAAAGCAAGGCACATACAATATTTTACATTTGGGGAAAAAAAAGAAAATCCCACTGCACACCACCAAATAAAAATGTCACACAAAGTGGGAACACAGTTCAATTTTTCATTCAGTGGGAGAGCATTTACCGATTTTGCCTGTCACTACATTTCACCAATATGGATAGATGAACAAAGATTGTGTGGTAGCTTTATATCAATTTTGGACAATTCCAGTGTCATTTTTTTTTTAAAAAATAAAAACAATAAGAATAAGAAAACCTTTATTCGTCTCACAATGGAGAAATTCCCAATTTACGGCAGCAAAGTTATGAAAGCAAGAAAGTAGAAGAACAAAAAGTATAGGAGCTGCTGTAAAGGCACATTATATAGAGATGGATTGGAGATATGAACTACACAATGAATTATAAATACAACAATAAAATGAAACCAAGTAGTTACGGGGGGAGTTCAAGTATCAAGACTAAAATTCTACATAGAAAAAACATAATTGAGGAGGAATATGAAATAGCAGCTTTGAGTCAACCTCGAAAATGAATATTGTATATACATTTTAAAAAGTAAAGAAAATGTACTGTATTTTATTTTTAGCTTCAACAACCAGATTAAATCTAGGCCGCCGAAGATAGTGTTTGCTGTTATCAATAATCACAGCCTCTATAAAAGCAAGGCACATACAATATTTTACATTTGGGGAAAAAAAAGAAAATCCCACTGCACACCACCAAATAAAAATGTCACACAAAGTGGGAACACAGTTCAATTTTTCATTCAGTGGGAGAGCATTTACCGATTTTGCCTGTCACTACATTTCACCAATATGGATAGATGAACAAAGATTGTGTGGTAGCTTTATATCAATTTTGGACAATTCCAGTGTCATTTTTTTTTTGTCTGCTCTGAAAGGCTTCCCATCACCATGCAGTGTCATTGCGGATAACCACACACAGATGTGCTCAAAGTCCACCTCCTCTACCGCCCCCAAACCCGATTGGCTGGCTACAGTTTTTGCAGTCCAGGTCCAAATCAGCACTTTCTACTCTTGCTGTAAACTGGCAATCACTTCTCCTGTTGGTTTGTTTATTTTTCTCCACCTTTCGCTTTTTTTTTTTTTTTTTTTTTTTTAATCACAATGGCGTCGGAGCATGACCGAGCAGTTCTGCAGGCCATCTTCAGCCCCAACACCCCCTTTGGGGATGTGCCCGGCCTGGACCAAGAGCAAGAATTAAAGGACGATGGTGAGCCTGGATGCAGGGCACAGAGAAATGTTTTCCACTGAGGGTCAAACCACATGAAAATTGAAATTGTTCAGCACAGTTCAGTTGAATGTAATTTTGCATTTAATCTTGTTCATCGTGATTTTGCATCTGTTTTTTTTTTCTTTGTTGAAGTTTAGCTGACATTTATTAAGCTTGCTGAGATTGTGTCTTTTTCAAAAGTGCCCTTTTCCCAAGCCTTTTATCTCTCCCATGTCAGACAGCCTCTTTGACGCGGACTCACTGAGGCAAGTGAAGGACTTGGAAACTCGCGGGGTCTCTGCGGCCGAGACGGGGGATTTGCAGCAGGCTCTTGTGCTGTTTGGCCGGGCTATAAGCATTTTGCCCCAGCGTGCGTCGGCCTACAACAACCGGGCGCAGACCTTGCGACTGCAGGGCAACAGGGAAGGTACTTCCAACAACAAAAACAATGATGCTCATGATGATAATGAGTGAATATTTGTCATGTTTCAGAGAGGATAAAGAATATATGCCTTTGATAATTGTTTTATTGTCTATCTGTATGTGTTGCTGCACTGTATGTGCACCGTAACAGCAAAATTGAAAACTTCTTTTTTGGTTTCCAAACATGATCCTCTCTGTCCTCAGGCGCTCTAGAAGACCTAGACCGAGCCATTTCACTTAGTGGGGGCCAGGGGAGGACGGCCTGCCAGGCGCTGGTCCAGCGAGGCCTCCTGCACAGGCTGGCAGGCCAGGACGACGAGGCGCACCAGGACTTCCGGAAGGCGGCAGCGCTCGGCAGCGAGTTCGCCCGCCAGCAGGCGGTACTGCTGAACCCGTACGCGGCGCTTTGCAACAAGATGCTGCGTCAAGTCATCGGCAAACTGCGCAACCCAGATGTGTGCGAGCCGCCACTGTAGTCAAAACTCGAACCTTTTTGCCTCCTAAGAGACATATTATTGAAAATCGCCTTTTTGATTGTTTGTATTCCAATATTTTGGTCTCAAGTGGGAAATTAAACAACCAAGTAAACCTTTCATGAGCTGCCACGTCCTGAAAATGTGCTGTCAATATTGCGAAATTGTGGCACCGCAATTTGGCCGAGCTACATTGTGTTTTGTGTTGTTTGTTGTGTGAAATGTTTCAGTTTTTGTGTAGCAATTGCCCAGTCAACGAAATTGAATTCAGTTGAATTGTGACCACCCCTCCAAGAAAAAATAGTCTTCTTCATAACATTATATAACGTGTGTCTGTGTTAATAATTGATTTCGGTGTGTAGCGTAACATGGTCATCTCAGCATTTGTTAAAAATGCACTTTAGTTTTTCACCGTTAGATGGCAGTGTTCAACCATTACGGATATGAGCGCGCGGTTGTCACTAACTGGACACTTCATTAGGTGCACCAGCACAATTCAAATATGATCTCATACATTTTTAAAATGTATTTATTTATTCAAATTACTTTCTACACAGTTCAAAGTGGGGAGCTTGATAATAGCTGCATGCACCGAAAATGCTGATGTACATGGATAGACGAAATTTGTCGGTAATTTGCCTAACAAGCCAGGCCAAATTTAGCTCCACCCCTACATACAAAGATCAAAAACAGTGAGACGTTTCACTTCAACATACGTCCTTGATACAAATAGTTGCTCTTTACAGTGCTTAGGAGGGATCTTAGGGTATATCAGAAAGAGTACAAACATTTTTATCAGTTGCGGCTACAGAAAAAAAAAACACCTTTAAAAGTAGAGAACCAAGGATTACCCGGGCAATTACTGCTTGTTGCATTTTAATGTCTTGCCTCTCTGCTGACCTCCCGCAGGCCACTTAAAGACACGGGCTCTGTGCGCCGCTCCCTCTCATAGAAAGAGCATCTTTGTAGGTGGTCCGCCATGGAGGGCGAGTCACTGAAGCGCCATCGCTCCACTGGGCAAAACGACGAGCTAAACTCCCAAACCTGCCGAGCACAACACACGGACACGGATGAAGGATTCGGTAAACAGAGGTACTCCCAATCCTTGTGCTACTTAAAGGGGAAGTAAACTCAAACGTTGTCTTTGCAATCATAAATTAAAATGTAGTTCATGTCTCATTCAAGCCCGGAGAAAATAATGATCCGATTTTGAGATGAATGGCAAGCACATCCAGTCTGGGTTTTTCTCAGAAAGTCCACGAGTGTGAGATGTGACCCCCAAACTAAACTTGTGCAAAATTAGTTAAAAATGATGCAGGCTATAGATCAAACCTTCCTGCGGTGTGCTACGAATAAATAAAGAGAGTTCACTCCGCCGTTTATTCGCAGAAGATTGTTGAATGGCGTCGTCTGCTCGGTTGTTCGACGATGGTACGGTTGTTGCACGGACACCTTTTAAATGAATGATTTTCAAACGCGAACCCCTGAATTACCTTCATACAAAGATATTCAGTTAAAAAACGTATTTTATGATCAATAACTTATTAAATTATACGAAAAATTACTTGTGAATTGTGAATACATGGAAACGATGGCTGTCACTGCCAACTAATCAGTGTTCACGTTGTAGATTGAAAAATACCATATCTGTAGCCAGCCCAAATGCCTTTTAAACTTTGCTGACTCATGTCCAAGAAAATGCAAATAACAACAAAACAAACAAACAAACAAAAAAAAAAAACAATCTATTTTATCGAGCGGTGGCTACCAAAAAACTGGACATCACGCTTGAAGTAGATGCCAGAAAAATCTACCTCCGTACTGTAAACCAGGCATTTCCCACGCCGGGTGAGAGTACAGGGTGTTATTATTTGTGTCCATTTCAAAAACGTACAACAATTTACGACCTTCATTTGGGAGCACATGCTCAGCTGTCGGTCACGTCGTGTTATCAACCTACTGTCTCCATGGATGATCGCCTCGCTGGCCTGCTGGCCTGCTGTCAGGACATTCACATCACATCACCTGATTAGCATGCTCCCTGTCTTGTGATCACCGTCCATACGTAAATATACCTACCGCCTTTGCCCTTTAAATCTTATCAAGAGCCACCAGTATGACTTCAATGTGCTGATTGAAGTCACAGTGCAACAAGTTAAAAATGTGCCAAGACCTCAAACCTTGAATTTGACAAACTATTTTACGGACGTCAAGCTGCGAGCTCACAGACCGCGGCGGTTTAAGAACCAAAAGATCCCAATAATTTTGTCTCTCAAGTGTATGTCGCATAACCTTTGCGCATATCTTAAACATGACCTACTCAGGTCTAGAATAGTGAAGTGATGAAATGTTCCCAGCATAGTTTGTATTGTTGCAGAGGCGTGCCGAGAGTCTGGCTGGTGTTTACAATGTGGCAGCTGTTTAATATGGCTGACATTTTCCACTGACGGCTAACAAGGCAAGAGTTAGATACCAGTGAGGACGCGATAGCACTGCCAGTATACACTTTATCCAAAATGAAATCCAAACAGGGACATTTTGATGCGGTTGAGTCTTTAGCTCGACTGGACTCGGGACGATCCGGGTTCGAATCTCTGGTGGAACATCTCCGTGTGGCGTTTGCGTGATCCCCCTGTGCTCGCGAGAATTTTCTCAGGGCACTCCGGTTTCGGTGTGAGTGGTGATCTGCCGTGCGATTGGCTGGCGACCAGTCCAATTTCACCTGCGATCGACCCGAGCTCACTTGTGACCTTATTGAGAAAACGGATGCACGGATGGCTACTTACTTTTTTTCGGCTCTTCCAGGAGCTCCCCCCGTGGGAGTATGTCTTCTTCTCCCACTTGAGGGAGACCATCCCTCGGGTCTGCAACAAGGTTGCGCAAACCTCCCTCATCGGACGCGACACCTGCGACAATTGCGATAAAGTGAACGTGTCCAGGTATCCAGCGACTTGCTGGAGGATCTCCAGCGGCAGTTGACTCAAATAGTCCGGGTGATGAGACGCTTTGATCCCCTCAAACAGCTCCCACGGGACATCTGGCCGGACAACCAGCTTGTCGACGCCGTGGTGGTATTTGACCTCAGCCGGTTGTCCGCCTGGTTGAAACCGAGTCTGGGCGAAAGTGCATCCGAGGTACGCCAGGGGGCAACGTTGCAGGAACCAGCCTCCGAGGCCGGCCTGGATGTCGGAGTGCACGTTCCTGAAGTGCGATGGGTACTCGTCGCGGCGGAAGAAGAGGCCGCACGTGTGACTGAAGGCCGAGCTGCTCTTGTTGTGTCGCCTGGTGACCGACTCGGATTCCGTGTCGACGTATAGACGCCGCGGTTTGCCAACGATGACGTCGGCGAGCGACGCCTGGGCTGGGAACGGCGCTGAAACGAAGTCGTACGTCTGCGTGCCCACGTTGACGTAAAGCCCGTCCAGACCTGTGCTCTCGGAGATGAGATGTCCTTTGAATTCTTTCTCCAGACAGCACAGTAGCGTGGCGCTCACCTCATCTGATTTCGGGAGATCCTCCTCCGAGACGTCGAGATCCACCGTGTCAACGCTCTTGTGCGCGACCTTGACCTCGCGACTGGGGTCCTTCAGGTGGCAGCGCTTGGCTCGATAGCTGCTGGGAATGTTGAAGGAGCGGACCGATTGGACTTCGATGGGTTCCAGGCTCCCGTAAACAAAGTCCCTCTCCCTCGGGGTGCAGGCGGCGAGCTGTCCGAAGTTGATGAGCATGGCTCCGTTGTGCACCAGGTACATGTTGTACTCGCCAATATTGGCCTCCTTGCCCAATCTCTCCAAGACGCCGTCCTGCCAAGGTGCCAGGCCAGAGGCTCCGTTCTCACGTGAGGAACTTTCCCGAGGCGGCTCGATTTTCCTTCCGCTCGCCGCCTTTTTAGCTTCATTTTTGCCGGTTTGCTCGCAGCCGTTCATCTCCTTCGTGAATATTCTTTCCCAGGAGCTGTACTTGCTGAGTCTTTCCGTGTCCAACGTATCACTTGTCATGTCATTTGCTTCCTCTTCCATCACCTCTGCGCAGCCATTCTGTGCGCATCCACCAGACGCTAAATTTGTGACCCCGACGTCTAAATCTTCAGGGTCCGTCATGGTCAACTCTGGGAAAACGTTCTTCATTTTGATTGACTTAAACAGCAGCTCTTGATCCCTCAGCGCCAAGGCGACGTCAAGGTGCCGTTCGCTTTGTTCGGACACGTTCCTGTAGAAACTCGGGTCGTTGTCGGGAACGGGCCAGCGGTTCCACTCCTGAGAGCAGCTGACCACGCTGGCGGGGCAAACCTCCAGGTGGCGGGCCCGCCGATGCCGCGGCATGCTCAGCGGGCAGCCGTAGCCGGCGTTGAGGCAAGGAACCGTCTCGTTGGGGCACAGCAGCCGGTGCTCGTCCCCCTTGCAGGCGTGCAGGGAGGCACCGCAGTCGTTGGGGCACCGGATCACAACGCAGCCGATGGAGAGCCGAGGCGGCGCCTGGCAGCGAATGGCGTAACACTGCTCGCAGTGTTCGTGGCGGATGGCGGGCATCCTCCTGAACGATCGGATTGGTGTAACTGCGGAGGTGGGAAGTAGAAAGTACAAATGTTTCATGATTAAACTTATTTCAGCGGTTTGTTCATGACTTAAGGATGTAATTTTTGGATCCAATTCACTTTTAATGCTTACAATTGATGACTGTTCTTTCGGGTGGATGCGCTGTGTCTTGTTCCAGACTAAAAACCACCAGCCTCCTCGAGACAAATTTAAATTCTATCCAATCTGGGGAAAAAAAATTAAAAGAAACATATTCAGGCAACTTTTCAGTTGTTATGGTTAATTTAGCATGTTCACTTCACATTGTCAGCAATGCTATGGTAACCCGTTCTTTTGAACCCATGCTGGCCATCGCGGATGCTTTTCAAGCACAACGAAATTCAAGAAGAGGGAAACTCTTTTGTTTTTTGTTTTGGTTTTTTGGATCCAACTCCAGTTTGTTTCCCCCCTTGTTTAGAACTGATTTGAAAACAGCAAACAAGAAACTGATGAGGACCAAACCCCAAATCCCAGTTTTACATAATCATTTTGGGGTGGCATGCTTTTGTTGATGTTTATTTATTTTTTTGTTTATTTGTTTTTGTGTGAGTTTTAATTTTAGTTTAAAGCAAATCAAGAGGCTAAATATAAAATCCACATACAGACCAAAGACCAAAAGGTGTCGAATAAAGCTGATGTCTCTGTATTCTTTGTAATTTGTAAACCATTTTGGTCTGTCACATTAGATATATTTTAAATTGCATAAATTCGGGAATCATGTCTCTTCACATACATACAACGTTGTTACTAACCTCCTTTTCAACCATTTGGAGGAAAAGAAAAAAAAAAGTGGGCAACATGACCCAGCAGAAATGACATCATCAAACAAGATGCTGTGACTAATGCTCTAGTTTTTTAAAAATGATTGATATTTTTAAAATATACCCTGAACAGCAAACCCGGTAAACAAAATGGATGCATAGATGATAAAATTAGTTTAATTTTCATTAGCTCACATAGCTAACAATGTACTCTTGAACTAAAATTGGAATATCATTATTTGCAACCTTCTGAGATTAGTACTACAATGAAATTGGTATTTCAATAAAACTTCATAAAAACAGCAGGGCTCCTCCAATTACATGACAAAAAAAAGTACACAGGTGATGGTGGAGCATTTTTTTTTCTTGAAAACAGACATTGTAATTCTGGATTACATTAATCACATCAGTCTTTTTCTTCTTAAAAATGAGCAGCGCATCAGAAGAACAAGTAAAAAAAAATTTCGGCCAGACATTTCAGCATCAAAAACATTCACAGCCGCTGCAGTTAGAGCAAATATTTCTCACCTTCTGTTTTTGAGTTGGTGTCACCTCGCGTTGACTGACCTCTTGCACCTCGTCTGCTCTTTATAAATAGAAGGGCCTGGACCGTGATAGGAGGCCCCGGACGGGGCGCCATTGTCACAGCTTTTCAGGAGGGCCAAGGTCAAGTTACAGCCGACACGGACTCTCATTTTGTTGCATGATAAGCCCGACACGAAACACTTCAACGTTATTTGAACTTTTTCATTGAAAAAAATTACAGTTAATTAACCAATGTCTTGAAAAAAATAATTACATCATAAAATACGAAAACAAAAATACATAAATGACGAAACCCAGGATAGATTTTGGGCAAAGTATATAAAATATAAAAAAATGAATACAAGTTCGCCCTTTGTTGCACTTATTTTTTGTATTTAAGAATTAATTAAACAAACAAAATGTTCGAGTGGTTTGTGACGAAACAAACTACTATACACCATGAATGATAAACCATCTTTCAGTGGAGTAAATGCATGTTAAAAATATGAATGTTTTTTTTTCCTGGCTTAAAGTAAAAAAGAAACAGTTAAGAAACTTTTATGTTTCTGGTACCACATTTGTCAATAGTTTTTGTTGTGTTTTCATCTTTGCACAGCCATAAGGAATATTTCCATCTTAAATGTTTTGACCACTTTCTTCCACTAGATGACAGTCTTACTCTATCAACAGAAATTACAGCGCCGCAATCGTTTTTTTAAACCACATTATTTTTCTTGAGGTTATATGTTTATTATTGCATAGTTTTTTGTTTTTAGATTTAGTCTTTTTTCATGTTTGTATATTCAGTAGTTTGAATATTTAAAAACATTGAAGATTTGAAAACAGGCTTAGTTTAGCTTGTGTGTGTGTGTGTGTGTGTGTGTGTGTGTGTGTGTGTGTGTACGCGCGCACACGACACATTTTAACGTCCAGTTGTTTATTGTGCTGCTCCTTCTGTTGTACCCACCTTGGTCACCGGGAGGCAGTGTAATACTGCGATGCCGACACAAACGAAGAAGAATAGTACGTAAGTGACTCAGATGCTGTAATGTTAGCTTGATGTGCTGATCACCGTTCGTGTAAGTACCCGTTGCTTAAAGCCCTCTAAAACCGCCGTTATTGAGGCTAACTGTTGGCTTGTGAGTGGCCTTTTCCATTATACATTAGCATCAGGCTAGCGGGCCGCTCTCAAGGGAATGTTGTTTGGTTGTTTTGAGTACTGTACACGACATGTAATTCTTTTTGTTTTGTGTTTAGTTTTAAAGTTAAACTTAGATTTTTTTTTTTGAGAAATTGTTCACTAGTTGCACAACCTGACACAGTTCTACCTTATGTCGAAAATACAACCAAAAAAAAAAAAACCCAAATCGCCCGTATGTTGTCTCGCATCTCAAAAATCTCGTACACTGGGGCACTTGTATCTCAAGGCACCACCGTATATGTTTAATATGCCGAATGGCGATCACCTTCTTTGCGTCTATATTCATGTCCTGTGTTTTGAAGCTGGATGAAGATTCATTGATCGGGTCCTGCAAACTTTAACTAATGGCACTGATTTACATCGACTGCACTATCATATATTCCTTTGCCCCCCACCCCTTCCACACACACACACACTGGAGATCGACCAATTTATAGTGTGCATCATGCAAGTCTCTTCCGGCCCGACACATCCACAATGGAGACATTATCACAGGCAGCCGTCTGGCTCTCCTCCGTATAGGCGCCGCAATCACCATATATTTGATTTTATGGGCAGGCTTTCTTGCTGTCGAACTGCCGTGCGGTTCTGCGGGGGGTCCGAATTTTGAATGATGTTTAAAGATGTAAAGACAGGACTGGAAACTGCGGCGTCGTTTCTGAATTTTCCGCGGCAATAAAGTCGGATAAAGATGTATTTAAAGCGTGGGTTGAGGTGGGCAGTGCTCGATCAGATCCAACAGATGGCATTGTGGTGGAAAAAAAAAGTCTGTTGCTTTTTCATCCAAATACAGTAAACCCCCTCGCCATGGCCAGTTCCTGGTTCGCGGATTTTGTTTTTACAGTTAAAGTGGTTCGGAATGCACCAGCCAGAATTGCCAACTATTTCTCCTCGACGGTTGCATCAAGCTAGCAGACTTACAGGTAAGTTATGTATATTTTGTTCTGTTTAAACTTAAACATCAGCTGTACAGCATTTCACGTTAACACAAATGTGACCTATTCCCGTTCCTCATTAGTACTCTTTGGATAAACGTCATTTTGTGTGTGTCTGACTATGTTGCTGCCGATCTCCCTGTCCTTTCCCTGCTGAGTGCAGCGGCAGAATTTTGCAGGTAATTTACTAAGTTAGGTTTTAACAATGTAACCAATATTTAAAAGAAAAACATATTTAGAGACAATATGAAAAAAATGAAGTATACGCACACATAAAATATATGTACAATACATAGCTGTTTTTTTTCTGAAATTGCAGTCTTTGCGATTAGAAAATAGTATTCTACTACGTTGCGATGTCAATTTGAATTGGATTAATTTTTCCAGCCCGATACATTAATATAAAGTAATTAATTTCAAAGTGGTCGTCTGGTGATGTGACCTACGAATTTTCCATCCATCCATTCTTGTCCTGTTTAGGCGTGTGCAACATTGAAAACAATTTAACAGATCAAATAAGTACTCTGTGTCGAACATTCATAGTGCAGCTCTAGAATCCGTTTGTTGTAATGCAATTAATTTCCTCGCTCATCTCTCACGGAATATCTCCAAAGGGGAATCATTCCAACAAGTCCATTTTGGAGGCCACAGGTTAAGCATTCACAGAGGCTCGGTGTCATGCTCTTAAATGTTCTGAAATATGACAGCGAAATGCAGGAGGGGGCAAAAAAAAAAAAAGAAGAAGCTTTTTTTATTAAAATTTGAAGCCAGTCATAAAGTGTCAGTGTCAGGGCAGGACTAATAAAAGCGTCACGAGTTGGAAGTTTGGGAAGCAAGCGCATCCTTTACGGTCTGCAGAAGCTCCTATAAATCTCTTCCAATTCCAGCCGATGGTTTCCTCTTATTGCCATTCCTCTTAAAGATTGGCCCCGTTTGGGAATTTCCATTTTTATTAAACCCGGCAAACGTGTTAATAAAGAGGCTAACGTGATGGGACAACATAGGCGAGGTGGGGGGGGGGAGGAAAATATGGGGGTTTAAAAAAAAAAAGGGAGTTCATCACTGAGTTCATACCGGCAGAGACTTATGATTTTTTTTTTTTCTTCAGGTTTCTCCCACATATTTTGAGAGTGTGAATCGAATCACAATTTTCCAGCTATCACCATCTTAAAACCTTTATTGGCACAGGCAATATTTAAAGGAACACTCTAAACAGCCTTAACTGTCATTCAGGTCGAAAAAGAAGTTTCTCACTTTTGACTTTGCTGTAACGGTGTGACATCACATACAAGCACAACCCCCCCGCACCCCAAAAAAAATTCTTTTCAAATCTCAGGATTTTTTTTTTTTTTTTCCGAGTCCTAGGAGTCAAGAAGGTTTAAAACTGTAACAAAGACAAAAGCACTTACATGCTGTCGCAAAATAAAACAATGTGCCCCACTTGTCAAATTCAGTATTGTGCAGCCTCTGGGACGTTTGACTTGAAAGGTTTCTCTCCATTTCAATCTGAGAGGAGTGCAAAAGGCCCGTACGAGTGATTAAAAGTGAAAATCATTGGGCGATTACGGTCTGTTTAACCCGACACCATGAATCACTCCAGCGCTGTCGGGTCCGTTGAATAGTCGATGCTTTTCGGAGAATATGATGGCGGTGGCTTCTGGATGGACCGCCCTCCCGCCAAGTCATGAAGACGGCGTCACGCGCGTCTCCTCGCAATCCGTCAACAGTTCAACCTCGGCGCAAGTGAGACCATTGACCATTGGAGACGAACATGTTTATTGGCATATCAATTTTGCCCGCATCCTTTCCCGGGCACCTTTTTATTCGTCTTTTAATTACAAAGACTAATTAAAAGTAGCTTGTAACGAGCCCCGTGTAGGTTCCCCCTTGGGGCAGGAAGTGCGCCGTGTCACTTTGCATCATTAATAGCGAGTACACCCAAAGAATGGTGCCGCAAGTTGTAAATTAGAAATTTCGCTTCGCTCATTTGCAGAGCTAATAAGAAGGAGCCGCCATGGAAGTTGGCGGCGGCGGCGGCACGCCATTTCACGCCCGATATACCGCCGCCGTAATAAATGACAGCTCTTATAAAATTCATGAAAGCAGTAAAACAGCTTGTTGTGAGCCAGTCCAATGATAAAGTGCAATGACACAATTTATCTCTTTGCTCTTGTTCCACCCCAAAGAACTTTTATATGAGTAAAAGTTACTCGCGCAACCAGCCGAAGCAATGGCGTGGATACGGAAGTTTAAAAAAAATGTCGCAGTGATTGCACAACCATGAAGCAGAACGCCGTGACAAATCAAATCCAAGGACTAATCAAAAGGTTGCTGGTCATTTCTAAAGTAGGTTTCGTCAACAATGTCGATCCATTTGCTTGAAGTATCCAACGTGTAGTCATTTGCGTGGGATGTTTGAAGAAACACAGATTGAAAAAAAAAAAATGGAAACCGCTAACATTCGAAAACGCAAATATTTGAAAATGCTCTCCGAGTAGAGTTTAACAAAATGGCTTTCCGCGGCACGCGTAAAATGGTACCGTCGCGCTAGCGATACGCACAACGGGGTGCGAGGAGTCTGCTTTTACTGCTGGGTTTGGTTGACACGGTAACGGACAGAAACGGCCCACCACCCCACGGTGATTTTTAAGAGAAAGAAGCTTGACGAAGTAACGGTGTAGGGGCGATGGATGACAGATGGCGAACATAGCTTTTTTTTTTTTTTTAGAAAGACTGGAAGGCCGCGCCGGGCGAGTCACGCCCCCATTTGTGAATGGAGTGTGGATGCTCGGACTAACCGCGTTGGAGCGTTTGAAAAAATTGGATCCATCCAAAAATAATACTGTGCGCCGGATGGTCGTGAAAATACGGTGTAGTATTCAACCAACGCGGTAATATTCAACCAACAACCGTGTGTTTTTGTAACGATCAAATCACATGCAGTGATTCTAATCTTTATGATTTTGTAAATGTCCAGTCAATCGGACAGTTCGATAATGACATTTTTACGTGATGAATTTGAACCCAAAAGCAGTTTTCAATACATTGCAGTCTTATATGCAATACAGTCTGCGCAAGTCTCTGTGATAGCTTCATTGCTATGAGCAGTGTCTGTGTCCCTAATTTGAAAAAGTCCATCAAAAGCGTCATCTCTGCTTTGTCAACTTTGTGTCGCTTGGCTGTGCTGCATCGTTTTGTTTTGTTTTTTTTTTTTTGTTTTTTAGTGGGGCTCTGCGGGACAAAAGGGGGAAAATGCAGGCAAATTGCAGCGTACAAGTATAATTTCATCTCAGGTGGTTCCGTTTAAATAGTCGGCGCGTTGCTGAGTGATAAGGAACAGCTAGGTGATAAGACACCTCTCCCGCAAGACGTCACACACGCCATCAACACGATATGATCAACGCTCCTGGTATGTGTTGCAGTTGCAAGAAGGTGTCACTGACTACACCATTTAGTTTGCTCTTTGCAACCACTGAGGAACGTGGACGCGAAAGGTATGAAACTCCCTGCCGCGTCCATCTCCAATTACCGCCGGCCGTGTTTACCCGTAAGTCAGGCCTGACTCGCGCAGCATGGCCTCTCGCCTGCAAACAGGGCTGTGACTCAATACGACAAACGGAGTGTGGGGGGGGGGGGGCGGAAACGGCGGGACCGTCACTCTCATGCTCCATTAGGCCCCGCGTCGCCGGCGGATGAAGAAAAATGTCTTTGGTTCGAAGGATGCTGCAGCACAGACGTCTAAACGGCGACCGTTTGTCCTTTGCGCGATGACCTCGCGATGACGCGAGACCACCGGCGGTTGAATCGGCGGAGCGACGTGTGTTCATCATATCATGGAAGGAAGGAAGCAGCGGCGGGAGGTAGTGAAGTAAAACTACTGTGCTCGTGCGCTAAAGTAGAATGCACGTCACTTAGCAGATGAAAAACAGACGAGGGTGGCATCGAAGAAAATCAAGCAAGCATGCGATCCGGGTCATGGCACCATTTTAGAAGGGACCCTCTGCAGGGCCTTCCATCTTTAACGTTTGCTTGTACGAACACCAACTATCAAAAGATTCCAAATTGTCAATTGAACTGATCACCGGATGCTAAAAATAGTTCTTACTTGTGAATTGGATTGAGATATCCTGCTCTGGCAACTTATCTGGGCTGCTGCAGCAACAGCAAGCCAATGCAAACAAAACGGTACGCCTGACACCAGGAAGCGGATGACGGCAACTGGCAGGAACAGGCTGACGGGAGCACCGAGAGCAGGTAGATGTGTGGAGCGAATTCCGGTGGGAAATCATGGCATGGCCCGAGTCAGGGCCGGAAAGTGTTCTGCTCTAAATTGGACGCATCACGGCACCAGCCATCACCTCCCTGCCGCAGTATCGATTACCAATACGAGGTGTCTGCTTCTCTTTCTCAAGCCGCAGCACACTCGACTACGTTCCCGCATCGAACTCGTTCAAGGTACGACAGGGCGTTGGAACGTTGTTAGCAGGAAGACCAAAGTAGTCAAGCGCCGATGGCCCCGACGCCGCAGTCGAAACACCGGCGCGGAGAGCCGGCCGGGGCGTTTATTGAAGGCCGGAGCCCTGTCTTGTGCTCATTAAATTGATTCATGGATTCAATAAGTGGGGCGCAGGCAGCAGGTGTGCATGTCCAGGCTGCGCGGCGGGGGCTCGCCGGCATCCATCACTCTGATCAAGTATCTTAGGTGGCTTCTCCGCGCAGATATTCGCTGGCACCGCAGTGGCGGAGTCTAACTGACTATTGACAAAAAAATAAAAGCAAATGGCATTTGAACATTTTTCTATCCATTGGATGCATTGAGCCCACAAAAACAAACACACACAAAAAAAAAACGCTAGCGTCCTCATGGCGACTCGATTACCCATGTAGCGTTGAGGCCAATCGAGGGTAAAGAAAGAGCTCAGCGAAAAGAGACGCTTCTTCTCGTATTGGCCTGATCTAAAGCCTTGCCTGGTTTTTTTTTTTGTATT